CATCTCAAAAAAAAAAAAAAAAAGAAAATGAAAAAAGAAAGTTATATATGAAGTTTCAGGAAAAAAAGACCCAAGAAGGGCAACTACAGGTGACAGAGGTGGGAGAGCCAGGCCTCACTCAGTACATACATGCTGGTGTAAATATTCTTGGAGGGGACCTTCCGGTAATTCTAAAGGGCAGGCAGATTTGAGAACTAGTGCTCTGAAGCATCATTAACCCATCTGGGTCTTTTTTGTTTTTAGAGATTTCCGCTATAGGACGCACATGTGCTCACCAGCGAAACAGAAAGCGAGAATCACTCCCTGTGGGGTGGAGGTGGGGAGATGGCCACACCACAATCCCTTTTCCTCCAGTCTCTCAGGATTTGGGGCACACACAAATACGCACCCAACATGAGTTTTAAGGCGCTGGTCCAGGACTCAAACCATGGCCAACTACTTGCAAGTCCAACGATGTAGCCATTATGCCGTCTGCTGGCCCCCTGTCTGTCAGCGATTGGAAACAGTCTACTGTAGAGTGCACTCCACCTGATTTCAGTGGTCACGAGTAGAACACTAGAACATGGCCTCGTCCACAGACGTCTCGAGTGCCGTGAGGAAGCGCTGCTCCTCTCAGGCTGTGGGCACCCAGCCCTGTGCCCTGGCGAAGAGACAGTGGACAAGCCCCTAGCTCGCCTCCCAGCTGGCCTCCTAGCTCACCGGCTGCAGACAGGACATCTCTCCTGCCCCTGCAGCTCTGAATCAGCCAGACGTGCTACCCCTGAGCCATCTTCCCACCCGGCACTAAGCCCTTGGAATCTCCCCACCCACCAGCCCACATTGCCTAGGCTCCCACGCCCCGTTCCCAATCTGCTTGGGGACATTTGTCTTCTTTGCAGGGGACTATAAATTTGATATAGTGAATGCTAAAAAGAAAAAGGATGCCAAGAAAAAGAAACAAGCACACAGGAAATGTTGCAACATCTCATCCTTAGCAACTTTGTTTGGTTAGCTCTGCAGAATTCTCGGGGATTCAAGGCACAGCTGCCTTGAACATTGCTACATGCTCTAGGCTCATCTGGAACAAGGTGCGAGAGAGAGCCATGTGGGGGCTCTTGCAAAGCTGGTGCCAGTCTCTGGGGGGGAGGCCTGTGGTTCTTATCTTCTGTTTCTTCCCGTCTGAGTTGAGCCACCTCATCCTGGGACATCAGAGGCCCTATGAGCATCCTCTGAGATGCTCCCACCACGACAATGTCAGGAACCTCTGTAATGCAAAGCCCCCCCTTTCCTGTGTCCCAGTGAAGTCCGGCACACGTGATAAAACCTCCACACGTAGGTAGGATTCTATACCAACACGTCAAACAGCAATCGGAGTGGCGAGTGACGTATTTGGCTTAAAGAAGCTCGTGTTACCAAAGTTAGCGCAGAAGTCCAGCCGCAGTTCATGGGATTATTAAATACAGATCCTAAGGGATCGGGCTCATCTGTTACAAACGGTAATAGCCCTGGGTATAAATAAACATTTCTGTAGATTTTGGCGTCCGGTGTTCACTGTCCATCCTCAAAGCACACAGTCTGTTTGAGGGGTCAGTTTGATGGCGCATCTGCACCGAGAGGTGTGAGGAGGCCGCGACCGTGGGCTGCAGGAGACTGCAGGTGCCGGCCGTAGAAAGACCACATCCGGGGTGGAGCCCAGCTGCGGTCACAGGTGCTGCAGGGCTTCCTGTCCTTGCTCTGTGTAGCCGTCGTCCCGGTGGGTGTTTGCCCACTGGCCAAAGGACTCCGGGGTGTGCACGTTTCTCTGGGTGCTGGCCAGGCGCTTCTTATCTCTGGAGAAGAAGCTAAACCTTTCGGAGGGGAAAGCAAGGACAGAAATGAGAGCCGACTCCTTGCTGCGTGATGCATGTTTACAGCGCCAGGGACACAGCAGCGCATCAAGTCAGGGTGTGAGAGGAAACTCGGGGGTGCAGGTGGAGTTATTTCGGGAAAGCGGCATTGGATTCTGCATGTCATTCAGTCACAGTACCTCGGCGGTCACACTGAGCGAGGCGTGCATGCGTGTGTAACGTGAGGCTCTTCCACCTCAGCCTACGGACAGCCTCCCCGTTACCCGTGCCCGTGAAGTCCTGACACAAACCGTGGGCTTCTTTAGCTGCCCTGACCATGCCGGGGAGGAACGGTGCTCCCGCCTTGACGACAGCCCGACTCAGGAATTTGGCTGCCACGGTGCGAGAGGGATACGCGTGCAGCAGACCCTGCGCTTTGGGCCAGTCGTCAAGGTGCATTTCCGACTTACAGCAAGTTTATCAGGGATGTAATCCCATCGCAAGCCAAGGAGCACCTGTTCTCGAAAGCCAGGTGGAAGGTACGCTGCTTCCAATTTCAGTGGTTACGTGGTCAATGAATGGGAATCAGGACACTATGGGGGCATGCCAAAGCCCAGGTTTCATGGACATTACGGCTCGGGATGTGGCTGCAGGAGAGTTTACTTACTCATTGAAACTGCCTGAAGGCACGTGTGCTCACCAGACAGGCAGAGGGAGAAAGCACCCCCCAGTGGGGCGCGGTCATGCCACAATCCCTTCTCCACCCTGTTGGGATTTGGGCATACACGGACTCGTGCTCAGCATGTTTTTCAAGTCTCTGGGACCAGGATTCAAACCATAATTGCCCATGTGAGATCTGACTCCCTGAACTACTAGGCTACAGGGCTGGCCCTAAAGTAGGTATTTAGAAAAAAAAAATACAGACATTAAAAAAAAACATGAAGTAGACTATGGGTATACACAGTTCTCAGATGAGACAGTGTAAACAGAGCAGGCGAATGACATTTGGGAAACATCACTTGGACTCTCAGAAGGGGTTTCGTGGTGAAAGCCTTTAGAGTTTCCTGTTAAACCCAGCCACGGAACAGCAGCTAGCTTAGACCAAGAGGCCTTTTTACAACACCTGTGACTATTTCTTTGATCAGCGTGAACCGCTGGGTGCCTGCGAGAGAGAGGGCCACAAGTCACAAAGAAAAACCCTGAGAGTGGCCCATCTAACACAAGGTCTGCTTTGAGATAGCGCAGAGGGACCCGGGCCAGTGAACCTGACCTGGCCTACCTTGGACACTTCCCAATACTCGCCCTGAGCTGCCTTCTGCCCTTCGGTACTACTAGGCTCTAGAAGGTCCCTTCTGTTGTCACCAAGTTCTTCTTCCTCTTGAATTCTGGTTTCTGAACTCGGTACGGGATGTGAGAGCTTTATCATGTGTCTCGGGGGACAAAAATAGCAACGCAGTCCTGGAGAAATCAAAGCTTCAGGTATATTATTTTTGGTCCCCTCTGCCTGCCTGCCCGTTCCCTTCAGCACGGTGGCCGGCAGCATTATAGTTTTAATCGCACCTGGGTGAAAGGATTTCATTGCCGTGCTTCCTGGACCCCACGGTCACTCTGTGCCAGGATCAAGAGCTGGGCAGGCTAAGTTTATCTGGTGCCAGGCTCCCTAGCAACTCAATTTCTCTACAACAGATCCGTGTAGCGGCGACTCCAGACTCGATTCCCACACTGGGTTATTTCTGAGCTGTCTCTGCAGGGCGGCCAGGGCAATTAGCAGGCTGAAAATACAGCAGCCGCATACCGCTGTGGCGTGTCACCTCTGCCTGACTCAGCCAGCAGGACAGCCATGGGGCACTTCGGACAGGGAGAGACTTAAACATCGGTCCCCTCCTCTCCTTTTCTCTTTTGTGACAAGATCAAGGCTGACTGACAGCGGCTTGGCAAAACAAAGCAGTTTAGAAAGCTACGCGTGGAGGTTGAAAACACAGGGTTAGTGTCACTCGGGATCGCAGTGGATGTGGATTACTGACCCGTCATTTAAAGGACCTTCTTTACTGGATCATGGGCAAGGTGGTTTTAGGACAGAAACAGAAGAGACAGAGAATTAGCAGTGACAGAGCCGGGAGTCCCGAGGCTCCGCTCGTGCGGCTCGAGCACAAGGAGCGGCACATCCCACAACACACTCAACACCCGCTGCGTGGGGACACGCGGGTGACGGCCATGCAGCTAACACGGGCACGGAGGCAGGCCAGCCCGAGCGGGCGGCGCAGCAGGTCGGAGGGGAAAGCAAGGACAGAAATGAGAGCCGACTCCTTGCTGCGTGATGCATGTTTACAGCGCCAGGGACACAGCAGCGCATCAAGTCAGGGTGTGAGAGGAAACTCGGGGGTGCAGGTGGAGTTATTTCGGGAAAGCGGCATTGGATTCTGCATGTCATTCAGTCACAGTACCTCGGCGGTCACACTGAGCGAGGCGTGCATGCGTGTGTAACGTGAGGCTCTTCCACCTCAGCCTACGGACAGCCTCCCCGTTACCCGTGCCCGTGAAGTCCTGACACAAACCGTGGGCTTCTTTAGCTGCCCTGACCATGCCGGGGAGGAACGGTGCTCCCGCCTTGACGACAGCCCGACTCAGGAATTTGGCTGCCACGGTGCGAGAGGGATACGCGTGCAGCAGACCCTGCGCTTTGGGCCAGTCGTCAAGGTGCATTTCCGACTTACAGCAAGTTTATCAGGGATGTAATCCCATCGCAAGCCAAGGAGCACCTGTTCTCGAAAGCCAGGTGGAAGGTACGCTGCTTCCAATTTCAGTGGTTACGTGGTCAATGAATGGGAATCAGGACACTATGGGGGCATGCCAAAGCCCAGGTTTCATGGACATTACGGCTCGGGATGTGGCTGCAGGAGAGTTTACTTACTCATTGAAACTGCCTGAAGGCACGTGTGCTCACCAGACAGGCAGAGGGAGAAAGCACCCCCCAGTGGGGCGCGGTCATGCCACAATCCCTTCTCCACCCTGTTGGGATTTGGGCATACACGGACTCGTGCTCAGCATGTTTTTCAAGTCTCTGGGACCAGGATTCAAACCATAATTGCCCATGTGAGATCTGACTCCCTGAACTACTAGGCTACAGGGCTGGCCCTAAAGTAGGTATTTAGAAAAAAAAAATACAGACATTAAAAAAAAACATGAAGTAGACTATGGGTATACACAGTTCTCAGATGAGACAGTGTAAACAGAGCAGGCGAATGACATTTGGGAAACATCACTTGGACTCTCAGAAGGGGTTTCGTGGTGAAAGCCCTTAGAGTTTCCTGTTAAAACCAGCCACGGAACAGCAGCTAGCTTAGACCAAGAGGCCTTTTTACAACACCTGTGACTATTTCTTTGATCAGCGTGAACCGCTGGGTGCCTGCGAGAGAGAGGGCCACAAGTCACAAAGAAAAACCCTGAGAGTGGCCCATCTAACACAAGGTCTGCTTTGAGATAGCGCAGAGGGACCCGGGCCAGTGAACCTGACCTGGCCTACCTTGGACACTTCCCAATACTCGCCCTGAGCTGCCTTCTGCCCTTCGGTACTACTAGGCTCTAGAAGGTCCCTTCTGTTGTCACCAAGTTCTTCTTCCTCTTGAATTCTGGTTTCTGAACTCGGTACGGGATGTGAGAGCTTTATCATGTGTCTCGGGGGACAAAAATAGCAACGCAGTCCTGGAGAAATCAAAGCTTCAGGTATATTATTTTTGGTCCCCTCTGCCTGCCTGCCCGTTCCCTTCAGCACGGTGGCCGGCAGCATTATAGTTTTAATCGCACCTGGGTGAAAGGATTTCATTGCCGTGCTTCCTGGACCCCACGGTCACTCTGTGCCAGGATCAAGAGCTGGGCAGGCTAAGTTTATCTGGTGCCAGGCTCCCTAGCAACTCAATTTCTCTACAACAGATCCGTGTAGCGGCGACTCCAGACTCGATTCCCACACTGGGTTATTTCTGAGCTGTCTCTGCAGGGCGGCCAGGGCAATTAGCAGGCTGAAAATACAGCAGCCGCATACCGCTGTGGCGTGTCACCTCTGCCTGACTCAGCCAGCAGGACAGCCATGGGGCACTTCGGACAGGGAGAGACTTAAACATCGGTCCCCTCCTCTCCTTTTCTCTTTTGTGACAAGATCAAGGCTGACTGACAGCGGCTTGGCAAAACAAAGCAGTTTAGAAAGCTACGCGTGGAGGTTGAAAACACAGGGTTAGTGTCACTCGGGATCGCAGTGGATGTGGATTACTGACCCGTCATTTAAAGGACCTTCTTTACTGGATCATGGGCAAGGTGGTTTTAGGACAGAAACAGAAGAGACAGAGAATTAGCAGTGACAGAGCCGGGAGTCCCGAGGCTCCGCTCGTGCGGCTCGAGCACAAGGAGCGGCACATCCCACAACACACTCAACACCCGCTGCGTGGGGACACGCGGGTGACGGCCATGCAGCTAACACGGGCACGGAGGCAGGCCAGCCCGAGCGGGAGCCGCAGCAGACGCTCCCTAAGCCCAGCTCACACGGATCCCAAACCACACGCAGTGCCTACAAGAGAAGGGAGTCGTCGGACAGGCTGCAGGCCCGGGTCATCTATTATCAGTCCCGCGGCCACCATGGGCATGACGGCTGTAAAGATCCTGGTCAGGAAAGCACAGGTAGACAGAGGAGAGAGAGACAGGGAGGCGTGAAAAAGAGGCACTCCAGACACCCAGGCCGAGGGACTTGCCCATGTCAGAGCTGAGCAGTCCCCGCCTCAAAACTACCTTCACACCCCAGGTATGTGGCCCGTTGCAGAAACGGAGTCCATGCAGATGAGGCTACTTAGGATGAGGTGACGCCTGCACGGGGTGGGCCTGAAGCCGGTGTGACTGGTGTCCTTACGAAAGGAACACACAGGAGAACACCACGTAACACCGAGCAGAGCGCGGGTTGATGCTGAGCTCCACTCGGTCTCGGTAAAACACCAGCAAAGGGAGGCCTGGGACAGGCTGACACCTGATCTCAGACG